CAAACGGTTCAGGGGAGATCGGTGACTTGTTAGCCGCCCGTTTCGCCAACCTGTCCGCATGATCATGTCCTTTAATTCCGATGTGTCCTTTTCGCCATTTTATCGTGACGTTGTTGTATACGTTTGCCTCTTCGAGTGATTGCCGACAGGACTTCACCAACGATGATGCAGTATGATGCCTGCCAACCGCCAGCATAGCCTGTCTGCTATCAGTACAGATTACAACGTTTCTGCCGACTTTTTTGGAGTCGATAATCGCATCGGCTGCTATGTTTATAGCAATTAATTCGGCTTGAGCAGTCGTGCAATACGATCCTAACGAAGTGGAAAGGTGCAGCTGGAGATCGTGCGAGAAGATTCCCGCTCCGGAACCTCCAGCCTTCTTTGATCCATCAGTGTAGATGGTCAGCGTTTTGCCCGAGCTTGAGTTGCTCTGGGGTATCGTTTCAATGCCAAAGTGTGGCTTGCCTAAGAAAGTAGGTGTAATGTAGTCTGTGCGAGCTTTAAGGAGGGGTTGTTTACTAACAGCCTCACTCCAGAGCTTGCTCCGGACTATTCCCATTTTAACAACCTGCTTTTCATTTACTGATCGCAACCGAAGCAATGCCATCACGGCCACCTCCCTGATAAAAATATCTAGGGGCAGCACGTTTAACATAGTCTCCATTGCAATCGTAGGTGTAGATCTCATAGCGCCTGTGATTAGCAGGCAGGCCAGTCGTTGCAATTGATGCAGCAATGTAGCTTTATATGCATGTTTTAGTGCTGAGCACCAGACTATGGCTCCGTGAGCTACCATGGGTCTTATCACAGAAGTGTAGATCCACATTGTAACTTTCGGATTTAATCCCCAAGTATTCCCAATAGCCCTTCGGCACTGGGTCAGTACAATTGTTGCTTTTTTGATTTTGCAACTAATGTGTGATGTCCAAGTTAGTCCTTTGTCCAAGATAAAGTTTTTAGACGTATTAATGTCCATCATATAACCTCTAAAAACACAGACAGTTACCAGGCGTGGCAAATAGTGTGACGTAGAGTGCGGGCAACCAACCCGTAGTGGACTACAAAAATACAATGGATGTAGCAGTCCTGTTAGATCTTACCTGTGGATTCTACTGTCCTTGGCAAGTGCATAGTACTTTCGTAACTATGGTTTCTGCATTCATATAAGATTGCGAGTTATACGAAATTCCCGATATTGTTGAAACTGCCACTAACTTTCACAAAAATCCATAAGTTTGTGCCATTTATAACACATTATAAAATGATTAATATTTCATGTAATTTGTTGGATTTATTAAAATGATTATAATTTATCTGTCGATAACAGAATCGTTATAAAATATTCGTTTAGGGTATTGTAAATACGTATAAATTGTGTTTAAACCAGTATGAAATATCATAGTCCACCAGGCAATCCGTGTCGATAATAAACTTTTTACGATGGTCGCATTTTAATTGAGAAATTTCCGGTTAACGGAGTCTCGATTTAATGGCCATTACTTCCGCAGAACGCTAAGCCCCGCCGTTCAAATTATTAATGTATTCCGGTATTAATGCGGTATTAAGCCGGCCACGACCGGTTCCATTTATTTGAAATCGATTCGAATCCAGTACCATTTGTACGTTCAAATACCAAGACTTTTTTTACAAACTTTGCGTTTGTTTAGCCCGATATTTTCAACTAAGAAGTTTTTTCTTTGTTTCCGCGTTTCTTTGAGTCATTTTACTCCCACACACTAATTAACGCTATTGTTGGATCAATAAATGGTTTATCAAACAAACACAAACAAAAAGTTCAACGCGCACACCCAGTTTTCTTTCAAAGCTCAAGTGTCAAACGTCGTAACAATAACTGCGAGCGTAGCTCTTAAAAAGTGGGGAAGTTCTTTTCAGTTTGTTCCGGTTTTTTTCTTCTTGTGTTTCCTGTTTTTCTTTCAGTTGAAGATAATAAACACGAGCGCAACGAAAGACATGGAAACGTCGCAATTAGTGTCCTTGTACTTGCTCGAAAACGATCTCTTCGCTTTGAAATAATGTCGTCGTTGGTTGATAATTTCGAAAGGATTCTTTGTTTTATTGACCCAGCGCGGCGCTTCCACCAATATTCGAAATTAGAGGATTTTTAAAATAGAGTTTGGATTATAATGTTGTTTTAACATTTATTGTCGTATCATAAATAATTCAATTCATACCCTTTGTTTCGTTATAAATCTTGGTATTAAATCAAGAGCCTTGGTACTCGACGTTCGAAGCTTTTAATCTCCGCCCGCAAAATTAAACATAATTACTCCAGCAGCGAGATATTTCCATTTTTAATCTTCAAACGACGGAGGTCGCAGATATTAAGGCAAAACGACGATTCGGAGAATTAATCACCGACTTCAAGGGTGTCCCCGAGTTTTTGTAGCTTCACGCCCGATTTGTTCCCCCCATTGTCCAGGGGCATCTCTCCATTGTCGATTTTAATCTCAGCTTACCATTGTCACCTCGACTATCAAGAATTGATACCATTTATTATTTTCTTTTATTTTATTTGGAAGTAATTTTGTGTTATCTTTTTTTAGGTTCAACACCAATGACAGCTGATACAGCAACACCAAGTTCAATGAGTTCGAACAATGGCCAACTTTCGCCTACCAATGGACTACCAACTCAACCGATCCAAATTCAAACAGCGTCGGGAGGTGCTTCGGCGACACCAGCACTCGGAATGTCTGCAGCGAACGGTGGCCGCAAAAGGCCACTGCTGGCTGGTGGCCCCCGAGCCTCGATGACGCCTACAAAGCGCACCGTGATGAGCCTCTTGGCTAGGGCAAGAGCAGCACAGGCGAAGCAGTTGCCGGCCACGTTCCAGAGAGGCGCACCTGAGTAAGTCAGCTCGAAATCAACGCCTGTGGGACTCGAAACAGCGAATTTCCTTTTAGCCTAAAAACACAAACCACGATGTCGGTTCCCCACGGAATTTGGCGGTTTCCAATTTAATTTTATTTTGCATTTATGTTGGTTTACATAACTGAGGTTACCGCTTTAAAATAGTGCTACAAAAAATTCCTCCAAGAAATACAGCTCAATTTTGTTTAATAAATAAATTAGATCATGAGTAATGTACTTAGAGAGAATATTAGTTGTTAGTTAGATAATTATCTACATGGATCAGCAAATTCGAAACTAATTAATTACCCAAACTTATGTTCGTAGTTTATAAAGTTGCACAAGTTAGTGTTAACCCGGAGAAGATAAAACGAATTAATTAAATAATGAGTTAGTTGAAAACCGGAAATTAAATTTATTAAGAGTTGAAAATCGTACGTAATTATTAATAGTTATTATTAAGGAATAAAGTTTCGAAATGATTTGAAACTCCTAAATTAAAGCTTTCAATAAACGGCCAACATTTGTCCGGAAGCTTTCCTCTTGACGGAGTCTTCTTGGACGTACACGACCTGAAGATTAAGCGATGCCCGTTAAGCTCGGAAATTATTGGAGCACTTCGCCGCATTAAACTTTTATGACAAATTTGAAACTGGACGGCTTGAAAAGAAATTCTAGTAATTACTACCAAGAATTCCCACTCGTAAATCTTTTAATTAAATTCATCCAAACTTCATATCCCATATTTTTAATTTAAACAATAATTTTAATTATTATATCATAACTTAATTTCCTTCAATATAATTTAATCGAAGTTGATACTAGATTGCATTGAAACGGCAAACGTGATTTGCCTTTTCATGACATAGATACAGCGTTGTCTATGCATGTAACTAAGATTAGAATTGACCAGCCGATTCCTGAAATTGGTAACGAGAACGGGGAAGGTAACCTCAGTCGAACATCAAATTTGGTTAAATCACGACCCTAATTGGATTTGCTGCCATCTTCTCCGAATCCCTTATCCTCCTTCTACTCATTGCGAAACCACAAAACCAACCTATTTCCCCGTAGCAGTTCGAATCTCGCAGGATTATTGATTAACATCAACATGCAATGCTTAAAAATTGGTCGAACCAAATAAACAATAACTTAAAATCGATATTTTAATAAAAAAGGAGAATTTATTTGAAAATGTCTCCCAAAATGTTCCTAATAATTCCTTAGAAATCCAAATGATTTACGGAATACCGATCAGAGTTAATACAGTGACGAATTATGTTATGTATGTGTTTTTAGGTGTTGTATAGTTGACGCACTTCCATTGCAATGGAACTATTTTGAAAAAGCGAGTTCACCACCAAAAATTATTTGCAGGGCGGGAGGCACGTCCATTTTAGAAAGATTTGAATACCTCTCTTGACCGTCTTTACAGATAGAGGTTAGTCACTGCCCGATTATACTCTGACCTCTAAGCTCGTTACCTCCCATCGATCTACATCCCATCCTTACTTTTATCTATATGTCTACGTATTTTGTGTTTAATTTTACAGTCGAAAAAATTCTCATTAAAATTCAGTAGTGATTTTTTTAAATTACAACCAAAATGAAACATTATTGCATGTATTTTAAAAATAATATACAGGGTGATTCTGAATGTATACGCATAAACTTGGGGATTTATTCCTTATGACAAATAATGAGTATTAGGTGAAAAAAATTGTAGCATAAGTTTTATCATAATTATGCTGGCCGAATCGACGATGTTGGGTTGGGTTGGGCAATCCGATTTCTCAATTCTTGCTCATTATGCACAAAAATAAAAATCCGGAAGATTGAGGTTGGGCGATTGGACTTCCTCGACTTATCCATCTTCCGGGAAACACATTATCTCTAGATGTCATCATTCTGGTTTAGCCGTCTTTAGAGACGTGCGGCTAAACCCAAATGATTCTAGTTCTAGGTATAGTGTTAGTTCTCATCATTCGTATTTAGCCGTCTTTAGAGACGTGCAGCTAAATCCAAATGATTCTAGTTCTAGGTATAGTGTTAGTTCTAGTTTTAATTATTGTGCAGCGCTAGACCAAGAACTAGATCATTCTGGTTTATTTGGAAATTTGTGATTCGATGTTCATCGTAAAAATTGCAAATTAAAAGCCAGTTATACAGGGTGTCCCGTTAAGCGTACGGAGCGGCTGTATCTCAATAACGGTAAGGCCTAGAGGTTTGGGAAAAAAATCGTTATAAGCAAAGAGAAATAGCTGGAAATTATTTTGAAGTTCGTAATTCGACCGCTCGGGGGCGTAACTGCCATAGAGAAACATAAAATTCCTGCTATCTCAGAAAGTTAGACGATGAGCCATAACTTTGACAACATCATTTAGTAGCTTGGATAATACCGCATCGCTTTTGTTCTCATATCTGTCATAATAAGGGAGGGGGAGGCCAATGCGTTTTCAAATGTTTACATTTTAATATCTCCTGGACCATTCAACCGATTTGAATATTTTTGGTCTTGTTTGAAAGAGCATTTCATGCTCTTTTAAAAGATATTTTCAGTAAGACCGCTTGGTTTAAAACAAATAAGCTAGAGGGCGTTATCTGCAGCGGTTACATATTTTTGTGATTTTTGAAAAAAAGTTAAATGGAACGGTACTATTTACTTCANTCATTCTAGCGTGAAGCGCTAAGAACGACTGAGGTGAAGAAGGAGAATGAACTTGAATGTAAAAAATTGGAGGGGTGAGATACGGAACAATTCAAAAAATATAAAATTTAAATAAATTTAATAAATTGTCTATAATTATTTATCTCTGTATTATCATTCATGATTAAATCTCCGTCCCTTAGTTTACCGTCGTAAATATAATATTCCTCATATAAGTCCATCTCCCTTGATTTTTTGAGATTTTTTAAAAGTTTTACATTTTGAAATGAAATTTTATGATTGTGTGTTGAAATATGTTTAAAAACGGCAGATAAGTCTTTAGTTGTATGTTCTCTGAATTTTATTTTTAGATTTCTGCCGGTTTGACCTACGTATATCATATTACAGTCTGGGCATTGAATTTCGTAAACTCCACTCGATTGTTCGATTCCAAATGTATGTTTGGTATTGTTAATAAGTTTGCTAATTTTTAAACCTGTTGAATACGCAGGGATAGTGTTAAATTTTTGAAAATTATGTTTAAATTTAAATTCAAGGGAAGGCATGTCTGGAACAGAGATGTATTTAGTTGGTGGATATATTAATTTATTAATGTAAGAATTATGAGTTTTATTATAAATTTTCTAAATATCATCGACTCTGTAATAGTTGTTAAGACCTATTTTTATTATGGTTTTTACTTCTGTATTATAATTAATTATCATTAAGAGAAGTGTTAAAAAGCTTATTAAACACGAATCTGAAGGCAGCTTCTTTGTGCTTTTTGCAGTTAAAAGAATTTTTAGGTATTATAGCGTCGATGGTAGTTGATTTTCTGAATATGTTAAAGTTAAGAGTGTTATCATTAAGATTTTTGGTGATTGTGAGATCCAAGAAGTTAAGGCTATTTTGTTTCTCTATTTCTACTGTAAATTGTAAATAATTGCTGAAATTATTAAAAATGTTTAAAATCCCTATTAGTTTTGCAGTTTTACCCCTATAAACTATCAAGATGTCGTCTACATGTCGACCATAGAAGGTTATGTCTCTGGTGAATAAATTATATTTATTGGAGAAAGGTTCGTTTTTTAAAGAATTTACAAAGATTTCCGAAATGATACCTGAAATAGGTGATCCCATGGGAAAAACTTGTTTCATATGGTAGTATTGTTCGTTAAAAAGAAAAAAAATTTGTTTACATACGACTGCAAGTAGGGCGATGAATTAATTAAAGTTTAAAATGTGGAGGTTATTTATTAAGCGTTGTTTGACGATTTGAAGTGAAGTATTTATGGGTATATTGGTGTATAGGTTTTTTATGTCTAGTGAAATTAGTCTGTGTTTATCAGTGATATGTATCTTTTTTTGCTTTTCGACAAGTTATGATGAATTTTTTATGTTATATGAAAATTGATTTTGAAATGTCTTGCATAGAAAACTTTGTATTGTTTTGGCTATTTTACTAGAGGGTGTAGTTGGCAATGTTGGGTCTAATACTTTTATCTTCTTTATGTAATTTAATCAGGCTTTTGAGAGTTGGTATTAGAGGATTTATAACTATGGAGTTGTATATATTTATGTTAAAGGTATGTAATTCATGTTGATGGTCTTTGATACATTTCTTTAATCTATTGTTANTGTGATAGGGACGTGTGTGCAGGGTTTTTGTTACTTTTTATTGATATTTTTGTTTTATTTGATTAAAAGTACTAAAGTAAGTGGTTTGTCGTTCTTTCCTCTTTTTATTTTTTTTTTTAATTTTCTGCTTAGTAAATTTTGTTTTTGTTGTTTTTTTTTTCTCTTTTCTTGCTTTTTGTTCGATTAGCTCATAATTTTTACCGGATCGCCAGGAAGAACAGGGAGCATATAATTGTAACCTGATGGCGGTTCCAATTGGTCAAGGATTAATTAAGTTTAGCAATATATATATATTATAGTAAATTGTATAAATCATAAAACCAATAAAGAGATTATTATTAGTATTGTTCGTTAAAAAGGAAAAAATTTTGTTCACATACGACTGCAAGTAGGGCGATGAATTAATTAAAGTTTAAAATGTGAAGGTTATTTATTAAGCGTTGTTTGACGATTTGAAGTGAAGTATTTATGGGTATATTGGTGTATAGGTTTTTTATGTCTAGTGAAATTAGTCTGTGTTTATCAGTGATATGTATCTTTTTTTGCTTTTCGACAAGTTATGATGAATTTTTTATGTTATATGAAAATTGATTTTTGTCTTGTATAGAAAACTTTGTATTGTTTTGGCTATTTTACTAGAAGGTGTATTGTAGTTAGCAATGACGGGTCTGATACTTTTATCTTCTTTATATAATTTAATTAGGCTTCCTTATTACATATCCTGCCCATCGTGACAATAATTTCGTTATCATTGATTTTTTGTTTAAGGAGGTCTTTACGAATCGAGTGGAATTTTTACATTTTGTTTTGTTTATCGTTAATGTTATTTATAATGTCGTTATTTTCAAGAAATATTTGTTTGATATTAACATTATTCAGTAGCTGTGACTCTATTTTAATGGCAAGATCCAGAGGTCTGATGATTCTGGGTAAAGAAAATTTCTGGTTTAGGTTGAAAATATTGAGTTTTTTAGAAGAAAATTTGTCGTTGTTAGGTTTCTAAAATTAGGAGCAAATGAAATGTTCTCTAAATTATTTAATTTTATTCTTTTTATGGATTTATTGTGGTCTATTCTTTTTATGGTGAAAGTTTTTTCCCCAAGAGCATGAGATTCCGGTACGGATGAGTTTTATGAATTCAATATGTTTTTTATTATTGTCATTAAATTGTTTATGACTATTATGTTTATTTCTTATAGTATGAGAATTATTTAGTTTATCCTTTACCAATCTTTCCAGTTTTTGTTGTTTTGTTGTCTTCATTGAATCTTCGAGTTATTTCATCAAAATCTATTGGATGTAGAGTTGTGGACAGTTTCCTGTATATAAATTTTAGAAGTGATTCTTGTTGGGAAAGTCTTTTATATTGTATTTTGCATGTAGGAATACAATATAAAATGCTGCATGTAGGAAATTAATGGTGTCTTTGGTGTTCTCTCGTTTTTTCATGGTCCTTCTCATAGTTCGAATCCAAACGGATAACTCCGCATTAAGCAATTTGGAAATTTGTGATTCTGGTTTGGCCGTCTTTAGAGACGCGCGGCTAAACCCGAATCTAGGTTTTGTGTTAGTTCTAGTGATAGTGCTAGTGCAATACTAGAACTAACACTAGACCGAGAACTAGAAACATTCGGATTTAGCTGCACATTTTAAGGCGGCTAAACCCGAATGATTATAGTTCTAGGTCTAGTTTTAATTCAATAAAGCTATGCAACATAGTGATATCTTATGCTAACTAGCGCTACCTACCACTGTGACTAGAACTAAGATTAGATCTAGAACTAGAAACATCGGGTTGGTATATTCTAATAATTAATTTTTCTTACTTATTGAGGTTAACTTGTCTTTTCAGCAGTTTTACTAATGTAACAGAGGATGCAAAGTCATATAGATAGAATCCAACTCGGGTTATTCTTTAGCTGCTCTCTTCCATGTTCATAAATAAACTCGGGGTATTCACCGAGTTGTCTATACGGTGTATAAATTAAGGACGGAAGTTCTAGTTTTAATTGTTCTAATTTTATAAGCTTTAAATGTTATTAATTTTATCTACGACTGCTTGGATAAGTCATGATTACCGCACTCATTTGAGGTGATTTGAGTTACGTAATGAAGTTCATTACCACACTGGTTTCATTACGTAACGCATTTTTAGCCTAATCAGAACAGACTTAATTTATTGAAACGAGCAACAATACAAAAGAAAAAGTGCTATCTACTTACAGAGAAACAATACTATTTATTATAAACATTAATTGTTATGTTTTTACATTTCAAAACACTTATTCCAGATGAGTAAACATATTGTTGAAACTGACAATTCAAAATTGTCAACAATCATTTCAAAATATTTTTATAAATAATGTCAGACTTTTTTAAAGAAATTGATTTTTTAGTAATTTTTAGCAGTCGTAGATAAAATGCTGTATATCACACGTGGGCTACAGCATAATTACAGTACGAGTGTGGAAAATTGAGAGTACGAAAGTGTAATCACACGAGTTTCTAGCCCACTTGTAATATAAATAACTATTATTACACAATTTAAATGTCACAATGACGCAAGCGTACTTAAACAAACTATGTATTCTTAATTCGAAAGTTAATTTTAAGGATATCTAGGAAACTAAAAAACTTTAGCTATAATTTTTTTCATCAAGTAGTCAATTTTTTGTCCTGAGGAATAAATCCCCAAGTTTATGGGGTATAGGTTAAGAATCACCCTGTATATTAAAAATAAAATCTATTTAATTTCAGTAAGTATATAACTTAATTTTGACGGTTCTGTTTTAATTTCTATACGTAAAACGCAAATTTATACTAAATTTTAGTTTGTTTTATAATGTCATAAATATAAAAATATGGGTAAATTAATGTGGATTCTGGTTTGAATAATTGTTTTCCAATAGCACGAGTTGTTGAATCGAGCTAATATAAATAACTGGAAATGGTAATAAATAATAGCTTTTCCTATAATTTTCACAAAAATGATTATGGACATAATTAAGACTAAATTTTTAAGTCGATTACATTAAAAAAGCAAATTTAAAGGGATGGTGTAAATCACGCCAATTTATAATTACAAAATTATATTATTAAATTTATTTACATTTGATAAATCAAAATAAAATTATCACTTGTAAATACATCTCAAAATCTATACAATCATAATATTAATACGATTTTCTTTCCTTTCTTTGTTACAGACGTACAACTACGTTAGTTCCACTATTAAGGGAGGACTATTTGACGGGAACGGTTAATTTAAACTTATTTTAATAATCCTAAGAAATACATCGCAACTTTACGAAAAACTATTTTACAAGAAAAAAATTAAATACACTCTTAAATGCGCATGTAAAGACAGCACTCCAAAAGAAACGTTTTCTTTCACACATAAAAAACATTAAGAAAATGCTCTAAAAACAAAAGTCGTCACGAATTCGTCTAGTTTTTTATATAAGAATGAAAACAATCCCTTAATACACGAGTCGATATGATATTATAAATTTATTCGTAAAAAAATCGAGTGAATCTTGTTATCCGGTTTGAACCGATATAAAGTTGTATGTTGTAGATGTAATTGTTAATGTTGCTGTAAAAGAGACGCAAAATAAGTTCCTTCTACATTTCATTAAAGAATGATATTAATCCTATTATCGCCCATGGAAACTACGCTGTATAGGAGCCATTATCGCTATCTCACAGCTCTTTTGCCCTTAATTAGAGTAGAACGTAGTCTGATCCATTTTTCTCTACCATCAACGAAGCGACTTTAATTTAATTAATGGAGGTCACATCTCACATAAAACATATTTTATAATTACTTTAGATGGTACCAAACAGATGGATAAAGAAATTTTTTATTCAACAATAAATGTCATATATATACGTGTTTAACACCACTAAATTGGAATGTATTTAGCACAAAATCAACAAGAAAACGTCATGATTCCGTTTCAAAGCGAAACATTCTACAATATCCCCTCAGAAACCATTTCATACGAACCCGTTATGTTCGTTTAATTACGAAACCTTTCTCCGTTAAATGAGTATCCTTAACAGAATAGTCGTATAAAGAAGGAGGTGGAAACAACGAAACGAAACTCTCGAACGGATGTATATTAATTTTTCACGTCGAAACCGGTACGAAACTTTGCCAATTAGCTGAGCCTCGTTCGGAAATTAATATTTTCCATGGCCGAGATCCAACCACTCACCATCAATCTCCGTTACGTTGGATAAGACCGTATTAATGCCCCTCTCTCTTTCTCGCGGTTAGTTTAACTCGATTACGTCCGTGGGGGCCGCAAGATGCCAAGTGAATTAACGAACACTGGCAAAGTAGTATGGATTAGGTAAGTTTTGGCTATTGAAGCATCGAAATTGAATAATTCAATTTCAAACTTTTTCAATGTTCATCATGTAATTGGACATCCATCAATGTTCAAAGGAAAATTTTTGTGGGATGAACTTGAAACGAAACTAAAAAAATAATAATAATAATGGACCGGCGAGACGATAGCAACAAACCGCCCAGCAACAAACTTTTTCCTTTATATTTCCACCTACTTCTAGGGCCCATATCTTTTTTATTTAGAAAGATAGCGAAAAACTAAGCACACGGTTGGAAAGCTTGGTCTTTTCTGGTTTTCGTCCGCCGATATGTTGATAATAAGAGCAAGAAAAAATAAGAAACGTCGCGCTGCATTCAATTTACCTTAAAATTACCAAACTTCACGGCCTTGTGCAGCCGTTACCAGACGAAAATTTAATAAATGGTTTACATATTCGGAAAGAGCTGACCTTGGACTATCTTATTCCGAGTTTTCGTCCGTCAATATCTGTCAGCGTCTGTAAAAAAAACGCTCCTGAAAAAGAGTCTACAGTTGGCAACAAACTTTACCTTTGTATTTCCATCTACTTTTCGGACGGATATCTTTGTTACTTATAACGCTAGCGAAAAACTAAGCACACGGTTGGAAAGCTTGGTCTTTTCTCTATCCTAAACCGAGTTTTCGTCCGCCGATATGTTGATAATGAGAGCGCGAAAAAAATTAGGAAAGTCGCGCTGCATTCAATGTACCTCAAAATTACCAAACTTCACGGCCTTGTGCAGCCGTTACCAGATGGAAATTTAATAAATGGTTTACATATTCGAAAAGAGCTGACCTTGGACTATCTTATTCCGAGTTTTCGTCCGTCAATATCTGTCAGCGTCTGTCAAAAAAACGCCCCTGAAAAGGAGCCTACAGTTGGCAACAAACTTTACTTTTGTATTTCCATCTATGTACTTTTCGGACGGATATCTTTGTTATTTATAACGCTAGCGAAAAACTAAGCACACGGTTGGAAAGCTTGGTCATTTCTCTATCTTAAACCGCTATTTTCCTCCGCCGATATGTTGATAATGAGAGCAAAAAAAAATAAGAAACGTCGCGCTGCCACGAATTTTTGCCGCGGCTAAACCACGCTTGGGTGAATAACTCTCTTATATGACGTGGAGAAAACTCTAGAACTATATTCATCTTATGGGAAATTTTCTGCTCTTTTCAACGGTATATAACACATCTCAATCACACGTTTGCACAATCGTTTTTCAGCCCAGCAACAAACTTTCCCCTTGTATTTCCGTCTACTTTTCGGTCCAATATTTTCGTTATCTAGAAAAATAGCGACAAATTTGCAGCCCTTATTAGAAGGAAATTCAACAAATGGTTTACATATTCGAAAAGAGCTAACCTTGGCCTGTCTTATTTCGAATTTTCATTTACAGACGCCGTCAATATCTGCCAGCGTCTGTAAAAGAAACGCACCTGAAAGACAACCTACAGGTAGCAGAACACTTCTTAACCTAACTTTCTTATATGATGCAGGAAAAATTGGAACAAAGTTTTACCTGAGAGAGAATCCTAACTTCATTTCATGTTGACAGATAATTTTTCATTCACTCTTAATTTATTTAAAACCGTTTAAAAACATATAAGTACGAAGGGTTTCACGGCCGGTGTTAATAAAACTAAAACTAACACTAGCACTATCACTACAACTAACACTAGACCTAGAACTAGAAACTTTCGGGTTGAGCCGTGCGTTTTTTGAAAAAATTTTTGACGTTTCGGGTGCCATGTTGCAACCTTCTTCAGAAAACAAGTTGGAAGCGAACCCAAAAGTTTCTAGTTCTAGGTCTAGTGTTAGTTATAGTGATAGTGCTAGTGTTAGTTCTAGTTTTAGTTTTACGTTTAGAAACATGTTAAACTGTTCAAAAAGGAAAGATTATTTCATGTTACACCTATTTTATCAGAATCTGGAAGAATTTGAGTGATTTTAGACTCGAATTGTTGAATTGTGTTTTGATGGTTTTGAATCTGGTAACGTTACCAACCTTGCATTTTAACTCAGTTCATCAATTTAAAAAACGCGTATGCAAACGCGTAAGCGAAGTGCGTCGGACACCGTTGGAAAGAGCAGAAAATTTCCCATAAGATGAATATAGTTCTAGAGTTTTCTCCCCGTCATACAAGGGAGTTAGTTATTGACCTAAGCGTGGTTTAGGCGCGGCAAAAATTCGTGGTTTAGGTAGTTCATAGTCAGAAAAAAGGATTGTGCAAACGTGTGATCACGGTGTGTCACACATCGTTGGAAAGAGCAGGAAATTTCCCATAAGCTGAATATTGTTGTAAAGTTTTCTTCCTGTCAAATAGGAAAGTTATTAGTGCAAGAAATATTTGCGTGTTTTTATCGGTAGGGGCTTTTTCAGGTGAGTTTTTCTTACAGACGCTGATAGATATTGGCGGACGAAAACTCGGAATAAGATAGTCCAAGGTCAGCTCTTTCCAAATATATAAGCCATTTATTGAGTTTCCATCTGTTAACGGCTGCACAAGGCCATGAAGTTTGGTAATTTTAAGGTAAATTGAATGCAGCGCGACGTTTCTTATTTTTTCTTGCTCTTATTATCAACATATCGGCGGACGAAAACTCGGTTTAGGATAGAGAAAAGACCAAGCTTTCCAACCGTGTGCTTAGTTTTTCGCTAGCGTTATAAGTAACAAAGATATCCGTCCGAAAAGTAGATGGAAATACAAAGGTAAAGTTTGTTGCCAACTGTAGACTCTTTTTCAGGAGCGTTTTTTTTACAGACGCTGACAGATATTGGCGGACGAAAACTCGGAATAAGATAGTCCAAGGTCAGCTCTTTCCGAATATGTAAACCATTTATTGAATTTCC